GGGGGGGGAGGGAAAGCGGTGGCTGCCACCAGTGTTCCCTCTAAGCCGAGTTAGCGTGAGCCGGCTCACCGTTTTTTAGCCTCCAGCGCACACATTTTTGTCTTAGCTCGGGAAGGAGGGCTCCAGGACAAACCGATTGGTGCAGCAGCCAAATGGCTCGCTCGGAGCTTTAAGGCTTTAAGACTCTAATCTGGGAGAACCGGGTTGGATTCCTCCACTTGCACCTGGCTGGATGACCCTGGGCAAGCCGTAGTTCTGATAAGAGCTGTCCCTGAAAAAGAGCAGTTTCTGTCAAGAGCTCTCTCAGCCCCACCCACCCCACAGGGTGTCTGTTGTGGGGAGGGGAAGGGAAAGGAGTTTGTAAGCCGCTCTGAGACTCCTTTGGGTCGTGAAGGGTGGGGTATAAATCCAGTCTCCCCCTCCTTCTTCTTAATCTTCCTCCTTCCTAGTTTGGTCTGATAAAAAAGCTCTTCTGGATAGGGACTAGGTGTTTGAGATAGTGGTGAAGTGCGCAGACTCTAATCTGGGAGAACCGGGTTTGATTCCCCACTCCTCCATTTGCAGCTGCTGGATGACCTTGGGCAAGCCATAGTTCGGATAAGAGCTGTCCTTGAACAAGAGCAGTTTCTGTCGGAGCTCTCTCAGCCCCACCTACCTCACAGGGTGTCTGTTGTGGGGAGGGGAAGGGAAAGGAGTTTGTAAGCTGCTCTGAGACTCCTCCGGGTAGTGAGGGGGGGGGTATAAATTCAACTACTTCTTCTTCGAGACCAACTAGATTTCCCAAGGTATGAGCTTTCAAGAGCCAAAATCCCGTTCATTCGATGAATGTTTTAATTTTAGAAAACCAGTTCAGTCTTGAGTCTCGAGGTTCAGACTCTAATCTGGGAGAACTGGGTTGGATTCCTCCACTTGCACCTGGCTGGATGACCATGGGCAAGCCGTAGTTCTGATAAGAGCTGTCCTTGGAAAAGAGCCGTTTCTGGCAAGAGCTCTCTCAGCCCCACCGACCTCACAGGGTGTCTGTTGTCGTGAGGGGGAGGGAAAGGAGGTTGTAAACTGCTCTGAGACTCCCAAGTGACCGGTGAGGTATAAATCCAATCCCTCCTCTCCTTCTTCTTCTTTGGTGTCGTGGTTAAGTGTGTGGACTCTAATCTGGGAGAACTGGGTTTGATTCCCCACTCCCCCACTTGCACCTGGCTGGATGACCCTGGGCAAGCCATAGTTCTGTCAGAGCTGTCCTTGAAAAAGAGCAGTTTCTGCCAGAGCTCTCTCAGCCCCACCGACCTCACAGGGTGTCTGTTGTGGGCAGGGGAAGAGAGAGGAGTTTGTCAGCCACTCTGAGACACCTTTGGGTAGTGAAGGGCGGGGGATAAATCCAATCTCTTCGTCTTCTTTTTCTACCTCACAGGGTGTCTGTTGTGGGGAGGGGAAGGGAAAGGAGTTTGTAAGCCGCTCTGAGACACCTTTGTGTAGTGAAGGGCGGGGGATAAATCCAATCTCTTCTTCTTCTACCTCACAGGTTGTCTGTTGTGGGGAGGGGAAGGGAAAGGAGTTTGTAAGCCGCTCTGAGACACCTTTGTGTAGTGAAGGGCGGGGGATAAATCCAATCTCTTCTTCTTCTACCTCACAGGGTGTCTGTTGTGGGGAATGGAAGGGAAAGGAGTTTGTAAGCCACTCTGAGACACCTTTGGGTAGTGAAGGGGGGGTATAAACCCAATCTCTTCTCTTCTCTTGTTCTTCTAAGATGCTAGTGGACTGAAATGTTGATTAGAATTGTGGGTTTCTTTGTTTCTTTTTTTTAAAGAAACACTGACTGAGCAGCCCCACGTGGCTGCTTTGAAAATCTAGGAAGGGAATCGTCGTCAGTTTGGCAGTTGCAAAGAGAGCCGAACGTCTTCCCGTTGTCTTAAGATGAACCAGCGAAAGAAAGTGAAACCAAGGTTGCATAGCTTCTTTTTTACGACGGCAGGAAAGATGCTTGGGGAAGTTTCTAGCTCTTGGTGCAATGATCCGCTTGGCCCTGGAGGGTTTCACACGTTACGCAGCAGCCAACCTCAGCGCTTCACTGGAATGTGCTCCACAGAGCGCAGGAGCTAAACCTAGAATCATGGAGCTGGAAGGGGTCCTTAGAGGCCATCCAGTCCAACCCACTGCTTCATGCAGGATCAGCCCAGAGCGTCCCTGACAAGTGTTTCTCCAGCCGCTGCTTGAAGACTGCCATTGAGAGGGAGCTCACCACCTCCCTAGGCATCTCTCCAGAGAACAACAGCTTAGACTTCTACATGGGAGCTTCTTGCTTTCCTCCTTTCACTTTTGTTATGAGTTCCAAAATTCTGGTCACCACACCTTAAAAAGGATATGATAGCTTTGGGAAAAGTGCAGAAAAGGGCAACTCAAATGATAAAAGGGTTGGAACACTTTCCCTATGAGGAAAGGTTAAGGCGCTTGGGGCTCTTTAGCTTGGAGAAACGGCGACTGAGGGGTGACATGATTGAAGTCTCGAAAGGTAACTAGGCAGACGCGTGGATGAATAGGTCCATTGAGAGCTACAAGTCATGACAAAAGGGAACCTCCATGTACAGAGGCAGTAAGCCTCTGAATCCCAGAGTCAGGAGGCAACATCAGGGGAAGGCCTCGGCCTCTGTGCCCTGTTTGGTGTAGCCAGTTCGGTGTAGTGGTTAAGTGTGCGGACTCTAATCTGGGAGAACCGGGTTTGATTCCCCACTCCTCCACTTGCACCTGCCGATGTGACCTTGGGTCAGTCACAAGCTCTGGCACAGCTGTCCTTGAAAAAGAGCAGTTTCTGTCAGAGCTCTCTCAGCCCCACCCACCTCACAGGGTGTCTGTTGGGAGGGGAAGGGAAAGGAGACTGTAAGCCGCTCTGAGACTCCAAGTGAAGAGTGGGGTATAAATCCAATATCTTCTTCTTCCTCTTCTCTTCTGTGCCTTGTTGTTGGCGATCCAGAGGAACTGGTTAGCCTCTGTGGGAGACAGGATGCTGGACTAGAGGGACGCTCACTGGTCTGATACAGCATGGCTCTTCTCTTATTCTTGAGACGGCCTAGGCCTCTCCAGAGGAACTAGTTGGCCACTGTGTGAGACAGGATGCTGGACTGGATGGACCACTGGTCTGATCCAGCAGGGCTCTTCTGATGTTCATATGAAGGCCCCAGCCTCTGTGCCCTGCTGTTGGCCCTCCAGAGGAACAGGTTGGCCACTGTGTGAGGGAGAAGGCTGGACTGGAATGGGCCACTGGTCTGATACAGCAGGGCTCTTACGACGTTCTTACATTATGCTATTTTTCCCCAGTGCTTGACAGGCAGATATGCTACAGATAAAGTCTTCCCTGCCACAGAAATGCAGCAGTTGGTAAAACCATACCTGGCTATTTTCTTCCCGCCCTCCACACCACAAAAAAGGATATTACAGCATTGGAAAAAGTGCAGAAAAGGGGCAACTAGAATGATAAAAGGGTTGGAACACTTTCCCTATGAGGAAAGGTTAAAAGCGCTTAGGGCTCTTTAGCTTGGAGA